TAAACTGACTAACCCTCAGGCTTGCCACATTTTTAGAACTGATAAAATTATGATCGTATTTTAGGAAGGATAAAAACTAAATTGAAATGTGGGGGGGGGGGGGGGTTTTGTGGTTTTTTTGGTCGTTATATTGTATTGCTTATTCAAAACTTGTCTTGGGAATGTCCAGTTGTGTTGAACCAGTACGCATATTCATTTTAGTCAAACACCGAGGAACACGCGTTAAAAGATTGAAATTGGTCAGATTTCCTACAAAAAAACCCACCAAATAAGACTTACTATCTTGTTTTTAATAAATGTATTTATTGAGGCTACCGAAGACACGTGGTCCCGCTGTTTTGCGTGCAACGGCGTGTCTAGAGCTACTACAACTCCCTTCCTAGAGAAAAAAACAACAAACTCTACAGTTGGCCGAAAGTGTCACCCTTCCATATAAAAGAAAATACACCACTGTTTGCGTGCTTACTGAACATAGTTTTACCATTACAGCTACAGGCCTACATACATTCATTCCTAAAGAATTATTATTTGTGTGTTTTTTTGTTTTTTTTAATTCGACAACCATAATATATCGACTACGTTCGCCGTACAGATCAGGTGTCGCAATCCGGGATCCCGACTCTCGAAAATACCGGAATACCGGATAATTATCGATGCTCGGGAAAAAAACGGGATTTTCGATAATCCCGGGGTTTCATTTTCAAAAAGTTTAAGTTGCTTTTCTTAGTTTCCACGTCGTAGTTAAAGCAAGACATAGCAATACTTTACGTGATGCGCAAAGTGCGAAGCCCTCACACCAAGTGTCTCAAGTTCAAAGAGAGCCGACCGACGGGCTAAATCTGCGCACTGTTCTTTTGTCAAAAATCATGGAATTGTGATTAGTTTTGTTTGTACAACGTGCAGGTGAAGTGTGCAGGTGGAGACGTGAGTCACGACGACAAGGTGCAGGATTGGAAAGTAAATGTTTTTTTTATAATATTAACAAATAAATGATTGCTTTAGTCGAATGAAGATAAATTGTTGACTTAAGTAACAATTTGTTTGTAACATGAAATATATGGAAATTATAACACGCTGCATTCGAATCACGGGGTAAATTTTTAATAACAAAAATGTTTGATTTTCTTTAATCATGCCAAAGTGTCTACATATTTAAAATTATGAGTAAATCCGTATTTTGATAATCAAATACCTTAAGTTTAAGACACAGAAAAAGTATGTTACTACTATTTTGTGAAAAAAAAATTAATAATTCGCATTCACCTCATAATTGATTTACGAGCTATTTTGTCCAAGGCCGCATGTCCCAGTTTGTCTGTTTCTTACCTATATAGGCAAACATTTACATGACTGAATGTCCCAGTTTGCCTGTGCTGTACCTAGCCAAACATTTACATGACTGAATGTCCTAGTTTGCCTGTGCTGTACCTAGCCAAACATTTACATGACTGAATGTCCCAGTTTGCCTGTGCTGTACCTAGCCAAACATTTACATGACTGAATGTCCCAGTTTGCCTGTGCTGTACCTAGCCAAACATTTACATGACTGAATGTCCTAGTTTGCCTGTGCTGTACCTAGCAAAACATTTAGATGACTGAATGTCCTAGTTTGCCTGTGCTGTACCTAGCCAAACATTTACATGACTGAATGTCCCAATTTGTCTGTACCATACTTAGCCAAACATTTACTTGAAAATTTAAACTTTTAAAAAAATATTTTTAAGTTGTTCACGTAAAACCAAATAGATTTAATAAATAAATGTTTGTTAATGATTTATTTTCCCTTCATGTTGATAGTCCTGATAGAAAGGGGGGGGGGGGCACTGAATAAAATCAAATCAACCAAAATATGAAAAGCACATAAAACTATCGGAAACAAAAACATCAGTTTGGTATTGTGGGGTCTGAGCGGAAGTTCTCGTCATCTGGTTACTTTTGTTACTTAGATTTAATAAATAAATGTTTGTTAATGATTTATTTTCCCTTCATGTTGATAGTCCTGATAGAAAGGGGGGGGGGGGCACTGAATAAAATCAAATCAACCAAAATATGAAAAGCACATGAAACTATCGGAAACAAAGACATCAGTTTGGTATTGTGGGGTCTGAGCGGAAGTTCTCGTCATCTGGTTACTTTTGTTACCATTTGCGCCCAAAATGAAGTGATCAAACATAAGATACGTAGTCATTTTTAAGATCTCATTAGATCTATTTGAATTTGACCAAAGATTAAAGCTACACATTTTATTTTAATATTTGATGTCTCAAGTTAGACATT